TGGAAGAAGAGGTAAAACCCTGGCCAAGGGTTCTGGTCATTAACTCTCTGGCTTTGCCTCTGAGTTCACCAAGTGGCTTTCAGACCATGATTTGGTTTGTCATTAAGGTCATTTATTGTCACGGGGATATTGGTTTAGATGATAGTTAAGTTACATTTATTGTTAAAAATTGGCACATTGACCTTGGGCTTATAAACTTCACTTCCTAGTGAGTTAGGCAGTCTGTATTAGCTTATTTGAGACTGGCCACTATAACTGCTTGCTGGAGCTCTAATTCTGAGGCCAGCATTTTAGCACAGCCAGCCAGTTATTTTCTTGTGTTCCCCTCTCCTTTTCACAAGTCTCTCAAAATTCTACACATTTAGCAGGACATGATGGCCATGCTCTTCATCCCAGCAACTGGGGAGGCTGAGACAGGAGGATTGCAAGTTCAAGACCGGTTTCAGCAACTTAGTGAGGCCCTGCCTTAAAATAAAAAATAAAAAGGACTGGGGATGCAGTTCAATGGTTAAGTACCCCTGGGTTCAATCCCTGGTGCAAAACAAAACAAACAAAAAAGTACACATTTGGTGGAAGATGTTTTTAAGGAAGAGGACTTCCAGAATAATCCCTTTGTGCCAGGGTCCTGAAGAAAGGGGAGGTTCTTAGTTTGTACTGTTTTCAAATGAATTAATTGGATCTAGACTTGGAATGTGTTGATGGCTTATATAACAGACATAGAAGGCTGCCTGCCCAATATCCATTCTCTGTGGTTTATTGCTGCCAGAACTTTGATTTTGGTTCAGGATAGCAGTGTGCCCAACAGAAGGCAATCGGTGATCCTGCTTGCCCTAAAACAAGGGTTGACAGACTTTTCCTATAAAGGGCAAGGTAGTAAATTTGGGCTTTGTGGTCAGTCAGCAAAATTGGAGATATTATGCAGTAAATTCATATAATTTTTACATATTATGAWTTTTTTTTTTTTGCTTTTTTCCACTATCCTTAGTTCATAGGCTGTCCCAAGTAAGGCAGTGGGCTGAATTTGGCCTGTAGAATWTTTGGACTCCTGATCTAGACCAATCACACTGATTTTTTCCCAGTCTCCTGCACAGGGTGGTCATGTGACCCAGTTCTGGCCAATATATCCTTGAATGGAGGTGGAGGTAGAGGGATGTTTCTGGGAAAGCTTTGCTAGCTTGAGAAAAGGAGGTAGATGCTACCGCCAACCCTTCTTTTGCTCTGCTTTGAACAACTACTTGAAATATGGAGCCACTAGTCATGATGCAGCAGCAAAGAGGACAAATAGATTATGAAGCAGAGAGAGCTTGACAATTCCAGTAACCCATTTGCYTTGTAACTTGTCAAGTGAGAAAACTAATGCCCAAGGGTTTATCTAGATACCGAGCAGTTTCCTCATTGCTTGTTGCATGCTTAGCTGACCCAGTGTCCCAGAGATGTCAATCTTTATCTGACCAGCCCTGCCCCCTCTGGAAAAGACTTGCTCTTCACAGGCTGGTGCCCAGTGGGCTGTTGTCCCACTTGGCCCATCCCACTCCCATCTGCCTGCTCCTGCTGTTAAGCCTGACCCAAAATTAGCCAATCCATAGGCTGACCAGTGACCTTATGGCTTGGCTCAAATGATGAGCGGGACCAATCTGATTCCCTCTCAGGAAAAGGAGCTGAGTTTCCTTCTCTGGTTTTTGGCAGGACAGAAAGAGGTGGACACAAGCAGTATAGWGGAGATACATGAATAGTGAATCCCTGAAGGAAATGTCCAGAAACGTCACAGCTGAGGTGCTTGCAGATGCTTCTAGTGCATCCTTACCTCTAGTTCCTGGCTCTGAAAGCTCAACCTGTGTGGCTCCATGTCCTGGATTTCTTCTTGATTCCATATGTATCCTGTGGTTTCCCCTGAATTACCCCCAGACCCGGGTAATTTTAGAATGTGGGCAGGTTCTGTTCAGCATTCTTGTTGTTGCCTTTTTTTCYCAAGGGGCAGGGTGGGGAAGGAAAGTGGGCCAGCTCAGACAGCAGGAGCAGTGCCAGGCCCTGCTTCCCTAAGGTCCTACCCCCGAGAGCCACCTGGGTCCAATAGCTCCCTGGGGAGCTATGCCAGGCAGAGAGGCTGTGGGGACTGGTTTAGCCTTTGCAAGCATCTGGTTTTGTGCTTCCCTAGAGTCACAAGAAGAAAAAAAAAGGAAATTCTTTCCAAGTGGATTTTGAACATGTACCCCCCTGGGGGTGTAACAGGACAGGAATAGAATCAGGGTCAGAAAGGCTCAGAGGAGTCTGAGCTCTGACAGGTCACTGAGCAGAGGGCARTGGAGGTCCCAAACCTTTCCCCAGAACTGTCAGCGCCTGAAACAGAGGGACCAAGGGAGGGAATGGCTGCTGCTGCAGGGGCCTGCAGGGGCAGTGGGGCTTCAGATGGGAAGGTAAGGTGGACTGGAAGCAGGTGTTCCCACAGGAGTGCACAGCATAGCTGGCTTTCTAGACTGTAGCCAGGATGAACTGTTTGTGAGCATCCTGGGGGTGGGGGGCTATGGGATACTCAGGGCTTAATTCCAAGTAGGGGGTCTTTGAAGGAGGTCTTGAGAGCTGAGGATTCTGGAAGTTGGAAATCAGAGAGGGCAGGGTATGCTCAGGAGGCAAGTGGCCTTGGGGTTTGTATTTGGGGGTGTCTGGAGGTCACCAAGGGGGAGGGTGAACACATGCAGAGCTAGAGACAGCCCCTTGGGACTCATTCATAAGCAAGTGGTCATTGAGATATGTGAAGTGGATGAGAGTATGTGGAGAGTTGAAGAAAAGTTAGAATAAAACCCTGGGGAAACTTTTAAGGGCAGGGAGGGGAGACTTTAGAGAACGGGGAGAGAGGAAGAAGGGGGTGGAGAGGAAGTGTTCATCATATCAGGAGAAACCCTGGGATCCCAGAGATCTCCTTGCATGGCCCAGAGGCATGGAGTGAATATCTCAGCAAGCAAGGGGCTTCCATCAACATGGACTATGACAGAGTCATAGGGGAGGAGAGCGGAGAAATGGACTGTCCCAGGTGACTTGCAAAAGCAGCCTGGGAAGAGTGTGAGAAGCAAGGCAAGGTGGGTGGCAGGAGCCTGCTAGAGAGGGAGGGCAGACTGCAGCTTGAGTTCCTGGGTGGGAAGCAGAAATGAGGCTTTCTAAGGATTGGGGAGGAGGAATTAGGCAAATGCCGTGTCTCTGGAAGCTTGCTTCTGTCTCTGTCACATCTCACAGGACCGTCCCTTTCACCACTCACCAATTCCTTCAGGCTTCACCCATCCTTGAGCACTCGTAAAGGAGCTTCCCTGAAGGCAAAAGCCCTCTTTTACATGCAGCCAGGGGTCAGTCTCTGTAATCAATCATGTAGTCCAAGCTGGGGGATTGAGGCACCTGAAGACCCAGGAAATGGTGCGATTGTACTTCTTCAAGGTGTTCCCAAATCACTTGCCATACCTCCCTCCTCCACAAGGGCATTGTTATTCCTTTCATTCTTTGACCCTTTGACATGTCTCAAGGGCAAGGTCAGTGGCAGTGTTCTATTGGTTTTTAGAGCAAGGTCCCTGGATGCCTCTGCTATATGGCATGGCCTCTCTGGGGCTCTGCAGCCCTCCTGCACTGCTAGTGGGCTTAGTACCTGGTCTGAGGGGTATARGAGGAAGCAGCTGGGTGAAAATGGCTGCTGTGCCAGGATACAGGGCTGTGGCTTGAACCTAAGAACAGTTCTGCAGGTGATCATCACACCTGGAGCAAGTAGTGAGCAAGCCCTCAGTTCCTCCTGCCTCTATTTCCATTGAGTTACACAGGGCAGGGAGGTCCCCAAATCCTCCTGATAAAGSCTCCTTCCCATTCTATTCTCTTACCCTCACTGTCTACCACCTGTGGATGCAACTAGGCCTGGAGCGTGGGAGCCAACATTTACCCTGCTCAGAACTCTGTCTGGTTTACCACTGTGCATGAAGCCAGTGTTCAGTCATTGGACACTGGTGTCTGCCTCTTCTCCAACCTCTGATTTGAAAAATGGCTCCTACCTCTGTGAGAAGACAGCAAGGGATGCCCCCCACCCAACTATACAGTGGCCAATATGTGCAAAGTATGYACTATACTCCCAGAACTGGCTATGAACTGTCCTTCCTATTCCCCGAGGTTGAGGAAGGCCAGGCCTGAAAGCCCAGATCCTTTTATAGAACCACCACCATGTGAACTATCCAAGCCCTGCCATTGACTGCCTTTTAACCTTGTAAAATGGATGTCAAAGGTTTGAATTGTGGTGACCTTTCACATAAACTACCTCCCTAGTACAAGATAGAGACTTCTAGCCTCAATATTGGTCCATGTTGGCTCAGCAGCTGGCTTTTCCAGTTTCAGAATAATCCCAGGTACCCCAGGGCAATGTTTAACCATTGCTCCTTTTAAGGGTTCACTGGCCACAATAATTATTCCCTTGCTGGTTGGATAAATGTGGTTGGTATTATCTAGCTGAAGACTGAACTGCCTACAATCTATGGGAATATGAGATTTTACTTAAAGCTAACAAACACTGATGCTAAGTATGGATTCTCTTCCCTAGCCATGTCTACTTGGGCTTGTATATCTTTTCACATAAAGTAATTTTTTACCCATTTAACTGATGACCACCTTCCTCACTGAGGTCCTCAGAGCATCAGGGATGCAYCTGGGAAGATCAGCAAAGGGATAATTTGTGCTTATGATTACTATTTGGTGACCAAGATTAATCATGTGAATTTTAAAAGCCAATAAAACTCCCAAGTCCTTTGGTCATGCTAAAAGACCCAAAGGACAGTAGTCATCAGTTAAAGAGACAGTTGAGTCAAAGCTAGAGAGGTAAACAGAGACCTAGTCTATCTTGTTGTGGGCCTAAGGATTTCTAAGGATTTTAGAAAAAAAAAAAGTTCTTTATGGATTATAGGCTAAAGTTTGCACAGTTTGGACAAAATATAAGTACTCTTACCAATAAATATGTTTCAAAATGACAAAGCTCTCCCCAGTTGGCAGCTCAAAATCCCAGCAAGAAGTGATGGGCACAGGCACAATGAGCTATGTACAGAGTGTAAACAGTAAGGCCCTTGAAGGGAAGTCATGAGGGGCAGAGCCAGGTGATGGAGTGTGCACTGGACCAATGCAGGGGTGGGGGTAGGAGGCAGTGGGCCCAGGAAAAAATACAACAGGTTTGTATKACTGTCAACCAATAGGCCACCAAAGCTTGCTGGCAGTGGTGRCAGGTTCACTGGGTCCCGCTAGTAGGCAGTTAAGGAGAAATTGTCCATGGAGGCGACCTGACCCCATTGTCCTTTACCCTTGGGGCAGCCACGCAAGACTTTAGTGCCTCTTCCTCTCGAAAAAGAGGAACAGGCCTGYCTGGCCATACTTGGGGCAATCTACTCGGGTCAGGGCAGGGCATATGGGGGTGGTTAGTTTCTCAAACAGGAATTTGGGTGCCAATGGCACCACAGATCCTGCAGCCCCTCCCTCCTAGGAAAAGAGCTCTGCGCACCTGTCTCCAACAGGGGGCCCCAAAACTCCCAACGCTTCRAGGGTCCAGCCAGGTTTGCTCCAGAGATGCCACAGAAGCAACCATCCTGAACAGTTTTTGAGTCCCTAATCCACCCGGGCCACTCCAACAAACCCAGCCTCCCTCCCCACAAAGCCCCCCACGCCCACCCTCAGCACATTCCTCAGTCTAGCTTGGGGGGTCCTTAAATATCAGTCTCCCGGAGGTTGCTGTAGTCGGCCAAGTCATAAGCCTGGCAGGTGGCGCCCTCCGCCACATCTTGGGGAACGCCTAGGGACACGGCTTCCACCTCCGATTTCAGGGTACACGCGGCCTCTGCGTGCTGCGTGCCCCCGGTGCGGATCTTCTGCGACAGGCTGGAGACCTTGGCACGCAGCTGGGTGGTCGGCCTCCGCAACGGCCCGAGCAGCCTCCACTCGCGGAAGGCGTAGAGGGTCTTTCGACGGCTAGAGACTGGAGCCTGCACCTCGTCCGTGCCTGGGCAGCTGGGATCTGGGGGCGCTATGAGAGCCAGCGGCGCTCCGGGGGGCGCGGCACTCGGGCTGGGGGCGCAGTCGGGGCGCGGGCCACTAGTCGAAGCCCTCCAGTGGTGGCCGTAGACGCGCCACAGGGGACGACGGCGTCTGCGGCGGCGACACTGACAGCGCAGGAGGCGGAGGAAGGCGCGCTTGAACTCGCGGCTGGAGCAGGGGTAGATGAGCGGGTTCACGCAGCTGTTGAAGTAGCCAAGCCAGAAGATAACCTTGAAGACGCCCTCTGATGGTTTCAGCTGCGGGAACAGGGAGCCTGGAGGGCACAGAGACCCGGATTGGTTAGTTGCTCTGGGAGCGGGAGGTCCAGGCAGGCCTTGGGTGCAAAGAGGACAGGCTCTCTATGCACTCAGGGGGATTGAAAGGATCTCCCCAGAGATCCCTGATATAATTCAGGAGCTCCATAAACTTGGATAGGGAAAGCTAGCATCTCCAACGTTTACTCACCTCTACCCGAAACTGATCATTTCCTTCAATGAGTGCAGGCAACAATCAGAGTAGAGTTGGACAAAATCATGTGAAATTACTGTTTTTGTACATCAAAACTAGTAGTGCAAGATTGGCAGTTCCCGCGGATATTTTCCTATCACATTCAATTGCTGCYGATGTTATGAGATATTTTCTGTGCTTCTTGTTATTTGGAAATGACAGTCGTTAGAATGCACCACCAGATCTCATTTAATGCCTTAATGTGGAGGCACATTTCTAAGTCATTGATTTCATGTAAAAATATTTTGACAACTTTTTTAGTAAAATCGGTTTCATTTCTCATTTTTTTTTGTTTCATGCTTTTGAAAGTACAACTTAAGATGAATCCATAGATTTCACCAGATACCTGAGTAGTCCCCAGCACAAAAAGGGGTAAGAACCTGGGAATTAAACCTGGACTAAGGCTTGCCCCATGCCAAGCAGTGTGCTGGGTTCTCCTGTGAGGAGGCAGGAAGCATGGCCCTTGCTCCCAGGATAGCAATACAAACATCACTGAAATGCAGGTGGGGTGATGGTAGGGGAGTACTCATTTTGTTCACATAGGGAGGGAGCTTACGCTTTGTGTTTCTAAGGATCTCAGAGAATCAGCCTGGATGAGAAGGGCCAGAGTGTCTTACATGTGAAAGCTGCAAGTGGGCAAGAGAATGCCAAATTTGGAGCCTGGAAATATCCTGTAGGATCAACTCAGAAGATTTCATTTGGGACAGAYGGTGAAGGGCCTTAAATGCTGGAAAGTTCAACTTTTTATTTTGTGGGTTAAGAACCATGAATTGCTTAAAGCAGGTCAGAGATTGGGCATAGAGTTAGGCTTCTATAAACAATGCCTATGGGCTATCAGAACGCAGGACAGTGAGGCTGTCCTACTGAGGTTGGGGAAGATTTCTGGGCTGACTTTGTGGGGGCACTAGGCAGGTGGGGGTGGGGGCACTGTTTGGGAGACCCTCCTCTCCACAAACCTCTACCCTGACATCCCCACCACAGACCTGAAGGAGGCCATGTCTATGGAAAGAACAGCCAGTTGCAAAGATACACTCCAGGAAACAGAAGCCACTTTCTTGTTCTTCTCTACCTAAGCAGCAGTAGGGGGCCCAGGGTGTTGCATCCTAGACAGGGGCTGCAGCTGCCCATGAGACCGAACAATCCAGGGTCCTTAACAAACTGTGGAAACTTCTATATCTCCTCTTGCTCCTTCCCCACAAATAAGAGCARGGTCCCTTAGTGAAGGGGAAGAAGCACCATGCCCTACTCTTTGACCTGGAGACCTTTGCATATTGTCTACCCCCTACCATATAGAAACAGTTCTGGGTGGAGATGTGGTGGAGAAAGAGGAGGGCCACACAGCATCAYATGGCTCAAGAGCAAGCTATCTGGCTTTCTAAAGTCTCACCTTGCATTTCTGTGAATTAGAGATAATAATATTTCTCTGGAAATTTGGTAAAGATTTATAGGTCTTGGAACTAGCCTGTTAGCAGATTCTTAATAAATACCAGAGAGGGGCTGGAGATGGATGTAATTCAATGATACCATGCTTGTCTAGCATGTATGAAGCCTTGGGTTTGGTCCCCAATACCACAACTATACCACAAACTGGTGTCTGTTCTCCTCCCTTCCTACTTTTTTCCTGTGGTTTTGAGAGTGGAGCCTATAGTGTTGGGGAGAGACCAATTTCCACATATAGAGAGTGACCAGAAACAGTGGCTGAGATGTGGTAGGTTTTGGGGTGCTGGAGCATCAGTCAGGGTGGATTGAAGAGATGATTCTCCCTGGCAGAGGTGTTGGGTAGTCCCTGCAATATGTGGGCCATCAGGGTGGACCACAACTTCCAGGAAGGCAGCCCTCAAGAACAGCATCTCTCAWTGGCTGCAGTCAGATCAAGTGCTGAAAATAACTTCTGACTCAGGCTACAATTCTTTTATATTTAGCCCAGGATGACAAATCAGTGGACTATGCTTTCCAGTGGTGTGCCTGAAGCCGGCCAAAGGACATTGCTATCAGCATGGTTTTTATTCAGATTGGGGGGCAACACAGCATTTCATGATACTGCCTGGGTCTTGTTGTAAACATTAATATCCTAATTCATGCTCAATTGACCTGTGTGAAGCCAGCTGTGAACTGGGAATTCCTTACATATGAAAGAGGGAATCCAAACTCAGCCTCCCAGTGTATCCTATTGAGGATTTGTCTTACTTTGGGATCTCCTAGAAGCAGACTCTGAGACAAAGATTTAAATGCAAGTCATCAATTTGGGAGGTAAATGAAACACCTGGAGTCGGGAGGGAAAAAGAAAAGCAGGAAGCCCATGAGAGGTGGCTATCAAGTTAGTTGTCAATGTGGGCAACTGGGGCTTAATACCACCAGCGGGGCTCTAGGTGACTGTGCAGAACACAAACCTCAGAGTGACCCAACTGAGGGGAAAGGAGGTGGGGTATTTACACTCCCGTTCCCATCAGCTATGTTGAGCTGTTCAGTCTGGGTGTTCATTTTTCTGCTTCTTGCCTGCTACCATGGTGGGCAAGGATTTTGATGGGCAGAGAGAGTTCCTGGGCAAAGTAATACAGGCATGTGCTCAGGTCGAAGTGGGTCCATGTGCACTGAAGGTCTAGGGGAGATGGGTAAGTGCCAATAACGTCCACCACAACTGTGTCTTATTTGCTTTCTGCCCATGGTGTGCAGACATGTTGCCTAGAAAATATAGACATCTGTGCCTTGGGTTTCAGATTCCACAGGCCACAGCTCCTCTGATCTCATAGATGGCAGGTCTAAGGTTCATATAGACCAGATTTTAGTGGGAACTTCTGCAGAACTTCTTTTATCAACCCTTCCTGATCCAGCAGAATTATTTGTATTCCTCTCCCCTCAGCCAACCCCCAGATCATCACACTTACTTATAAGTGCCAAGAACACTGTAAGTAATTATTGGTTTTCTGTTTATCTTGTCCTTAAATGCTTGGCACAGAATCCCTTGAAAATGGAAGCCTGAGCATTTCATTTCCTCACTTCCTGTCCTCTTTTCCTCATCTGCACTTTGACCTTCTTCCAGCTCCTTGTATCCCTCCTATCATGCCCTTCCTTTTGGGCTTAGCTGACCTCCTGCTTGCCAGCACCTCAGCCATTCCCTACTCCATCCTCCCCCGGAACTTAGGCTGGATTCATCTAGCCAGATCCTAACCCCAATTTAACCCATCTCCGGCAATTTAACCCGTCTCTGAGCACACTTAGACCTCCAACCTCAGCTGTGTCCAGGAGCTGCAGTGATCTCAGCCTTCATCCTTGGTAGCTCTGTCTCCTGTCCTGCTCTAGCCTTTCTAGCTCTGAGCCTGGTACCACCCTTTCTTCTTCCCCAAAGTAGTTTAACTAATCTCCTGTAACACAGAGGGAACTGAGGCCACAGAAGCTAGCCACATGCCCAAACCATCTGGCTTCTCTTCCTCCTGGGTTAGAAAGGAGTCACCCTCCTACCCAAAGTTGGTGTCCCTGCCTGTGTTGAGGTCCTTGATCCATCCTGTCATAGCTGCTGTCTCTCTGGTTGTGGCCTTGTGCTCCTTACCCTTTCCAGGCTACTCTTGCTGCTTCTCTTCTCCAGGGCACATCACCTGTCACCCTGCTGCTTTCCCCACCCCCTCCCCCACCCAGGGCCCCTAGCCTTCGAACAGCACTCTTGGCTGCCTGGATGCTGCTCATTCTATCCGTGGCTTCCAGGATGCCAATTTTATGATTTGTAAACTATTCGTGTCAGTTTCCTTTCCTGTATAGTGACTCTTTAATAAAATTTGTTACTGCTCCATTACTCTATGACATGATGTTTCTTGGAGGCAGGGATAGGATTCTCTATCTATAAGTTCCTGACCCAGAACAGTGGCTCTAAAATATTTGTTGAATGAATGCAGAAATGGCATTTGGATAGGTGTCCTTTAAAATGCTTTCTGAGTGCTCAGTACCCACTAGCCTCCATTTTGGGGCCTTGAAATGTTTTTTCATTGAGTCCTCAAGACAGCCCACTTGCAGAGATTCTAGTTAACCCTAGAGGTCAAGGTCAGGCTGTGCTCCTGAGCTGGTCTGGTCCTAAACCTTTTGGTCTTCCCATATCATCACTTAAGAGGGTCAGGGGCCACAGCCACTCCCTTTATTCCTGCAGCAGCTTCCCCACAAGCAGCATGCCTGTCCCCACTCCTGAGCATGGCTGATCTGGCCAGAGTGGCACTCCTCCTTTCTCCACAGGTAGCCTCTTCTCTTCAGACTCTGCAAAGACCACCTTCTCTGCAGGTGTTTCTGTGATTAACCTCACCTCACTGGTGGCCCCTGGGCAGGTGGTAGTGGTCTTTGGAGTGTGTGTGCCCAGCATACTCTCTTCTCTTGCCCCAGGCTTATGTGACATTGTTGGCTTTCTGTATGGCCTCAAGGGTACCCTATGGCACTCAGAAGGGCTGGGCTGTTGCCTTCTCTCTGGAGACAGCATTGAATAGACCCCAGACTCCTAGGATGAATCCCAGAGATCTGCCTGGTTGTCTCCTTCACCTCTTCAAGTCTTTGCTCAAAAGTTACCTTTTGGAGACTAGGAATGGAGCCACCATCTGACCTAGTTATACCACTCCAAGGATTTATCTTGAAGAATTAAAGTCAATACATCATAAAGATACATGTATGCCTATATTTATAGCAGCACAATTCATAATAGTCAAATTATGGAACCTTCCCGGGTGTCTATTATCAGATGAATGGGTAAAGAAAATGTGGTATATATACACAATAGAGTTTTATTCAGCCATA